ATTATACAAAATTTCGGCGATTTTGGCAATATTTAAACACAATTTGCATTTCCGGTCGTGAGATACAATACACTCTTTAAAAATGTTACAAATGCAATGTCAAATAAAACGAATAAATGAAATTTTAGCTTCTTTGCATGTGCAGAATCGAAACTGTAATAGTGTTCATCTGTGCAGTGGAACTGTTGCAAAGTAACGTATTTGGAGTCTTTGAAACTTCAAAGTAAAAGCTGGTAACTTTTATTAAGAGCTTACTGTTTCCTAGTTTGTATACTAAAATATTTTAAATTGAAAATGTAGTTCTATGCTTATTTACTGGTTTATAAAATGAATGCAGTTTTGAAATTTACTTTTTGAACCGTTGAAATTGATTTTAAAATAAATAAATATACTGTTAAAGCTTTTCTTGTGCTTTTGAAGTACAAAATTAAGAGTTTAAAAAATGTTTTACGTACAAATTGTAGAAACAATTCAGTAGGATTTTCGTAATATAATTCTTTAAACAAAAACGTTTTCCAACGACAGCGATAAATCGGGTTGATCTTGTTCCATTTTACAATTCGCTTTAATTCGTGTTTTTATAAAAATCATTGTTACATTTGGAATGAAAATATCATCCTTATTAATGCAACAATAAAATATTCGAAAACAGTTCTGTTAAAATTCAAAAGTCTTTTAAATAATTGCGAATATTTAAATCTCGATTATCAGATTTAAACAAAATATTTTTCATACATCAGTTACCGACAGGTACTGTGTGGGTGTGCAACATGCACGCTCAACCCGTGCAAGCTACGTGTTAAAATTTAATTTCCTCGCACTGAATGCCACTTAATTTGATCGTGCATCAATGGAATGCAATGTCCGGATATATCACGTAGAGAACTATAGAATCAAATTATTACACGAAAGCTGCAATTGTCAATTCAGTGGTACTTCATTTATGAATTTCATCACAATGTACATATTATGCCGTAAAAAAATTAAACGAAAAAAGTCGCAGTTTATAATTATGATAACGATTTGTTAACAAAATAAATGAAGATCACTTACCGCTTTGACATGACGTCTTGAACTTTATATGGACACCGCTTGCAAATTCCAAAGTCCTCAGTCATGTTCTAGTCGACTCAGAGTCAGTTAACCTTAAAAAACATACAATCCGTACACATCTGGTAGTTATCTCTGTAAAAAGCAATAAGGAGGGTAGTTATATGTTTTCGTTTAGGTTATTTGCCAGTGGAAACTCACCGTAATATCAATTCGATTATTGCAATAATGTATAGTTTTATAAGCGTAGGAAGCACGTGGTTGACTTGCAGCTACATTATAAACATGGCCTAATATAAATACACTTTCAACAATATGATTGTCGGCATTATCTCTATACCGTCATCAGATAAATCTACAGGCCGCGGGTATGTATTAATATAATTCCTGTAATAAGCCCGTATCACACTAATTTAGTAACTCCTTAATATATCACAATCAATTAACTAACAATTAGTCGCCATTTAGCAATGATTAAATAGGATTTAAATTATAATGACGATCCCTCGCTAAAGTGCAACGTTAATGACGCTCTCTTCATAAGATGCTCGTTTGATGTTCCGCCAGAGTAACATAGACAATTCATATGACATAATAATGACATAGACAATTCCTGCCAAAGAATCGATTCAAATCGTAGTCAATTGATTATCACTTCCGACATGTTTAATCCTGGAGGGAAATAAAAATAAAAAATGTTGTCTTTGAAGGGATAAAAATATTGTCTTGTTCGTATCAAAGAAATATTTTTTTAACGCACTTGCGTTGGTTTGGAATGTAATAAAGAAAATTTATAATTCTATATACATTTGAAATCTAAACAAACAATGTTTTGAAAACAAATTGATCCATAAACCCCCCTTTATTTCTAATTGCTTTCCACGCGGCATTGAATACAGATTGAATCGATTTTAATTAAGACGACACGATAAAATGTCCGTCGTAAACTTTCCACTTATATTAGTGTTCAATCAGATCACTTCATTAGGTTTAAATGTCAAATGAGAGTCCTATTACTTACATAACATGTATTTGTTTACAAAAAATGTAAAACAATGTAAGATGATGCAATAAGTAATTCAAAAAACTATTCTATATAAGACGTCTTAGATATTGATATTGTACAAAAATAAATGAATAAAGAAAACACTTCACTATTAATTGTAGCATTATTGGAGACGTTCTAAGAAAGTTCGCCCTTCGCAATTTAATAGCGTAGAAAACAAACTCTGACAGGAATATCGGGTCCGTTTACTGCTCCACTACTCCGAACACTCTTGTCATTATAATAATAAAGTCAAAAGATTATTTATGCAGTTATTTACGTTTTTCCTTTATTCGGTTAAAAAGTTGTTCTTTGTAATGCAATTGCTTCCATGATACCAGCTAAATAACCGTAGTGGCTAGTTTTTATAGAAGGGTGATGAATGTACTACTGTTTTTCTAATTTAGATTATCAAGTGACACAACAACACTTGACAGTGGTTTTTGACACTGGTAGAGCCCGCTTTAACATCTTCGCACGAATGGGCCGGCTCGCCCCCAGCAATACCACTATCATACAGAAGACAGGCGTGAAGTGGAAGCAATTCCGCGTTTCGTCTGATGAGTGTGGTGCCGGAGACCTAATTTTAGTCCATTTCCCTTTCCCCCCTTATCTTAAGAGGAAAGGATGGGAAGGAAAAGTGGATTTGACGGTGGAGGAGACGCATTGGAAGGGGAAATGTCCTCTTTATGTGCGTCTCCTCCTCAAGGGTAGGCAAGTCATCTGCAATTGTGGATGTTTATGAGCAGCGCTCGCTTTCGATTTCCGTGGATACAGGTGGCCGCTTGCTCATATATTATAAAAAAATATATTACGAATAACATTTAAATCGTCACGTATTGTAAAGATAATTTAATAACGTAACTTATATTTATGCCTTCATGTGTCCTGTGTTTCAATTAACTTTCCTAATCTCTCTATATGTGAGTAAAGTAATGAGATTTGTTTATTCCGCCCAGATACATGCCATTATTTATTAAACTTGCTTCGCAAAGGTTACCTTTCTACTTAATTGTTATTCGTATCATAACTTAATGACTTAACATAAAAAGTAGATCAGAAAAAGATTATTACCATTTTACTTTGATATGCGATAGCAAATGTTAATGTCAGTTGGTAAAAAACAAAATAACCAAGACGTAAAGTCGCGATTGTATTTGATATTTTCTAATCTTTCTGGCTTTGTGACAACTAATGCTAGTCAAACTTTGTCATAGCCTTTTTTATTATTATACAATTCCTCTAGCATGGAAGCCAGAGCCTTTATTATTCATCACTTAATTCATTTGCATCATTACATTTTTATCTTATACATTTTACTTATTATTTTTACAAATTTTATTAATACACAAGCTAAGAGACATCAAGATCAAAATAAATATTACTAAGACTACAGGTACAATATTAAAATTATGGACATTATTAAAATTATAACTGGTAAAATGAAATATATAATAAAATATAGGATAAGTATAAAATGAGTGTAAAATAACAAGATTACAGTTAAAATGTCTAGATTGGCTATAGATTAAAATGACTAGATTAAGCCTTTATACATTTGCCTCAGGTTGGGCCCACCATAAGCATTGTCACAACTGCCAACAATTTGTTTCAGTAATTCGCAATTAAACGCGTAAGGAAAATACAAAAACCTATCGTCCGAATGTTTTTACGACTCTTAAACATTTCGCTATGTAAACGCCTTTTACAATCTGACAAACGTCCACGTTTTAATGGAATTTGGAGTTTATAGGGTCTTATTATCTGTCACACATTTCAATGTCGTTTGGAATTTATTATGAGATGAAGTAAATGTTGCCATAGAGCCGCTATGTGTTAATTTAGAGAAAGTAAGATATGTACGTATTTTTAACTAAGTTTTGTGTAATAAAAATGGTATCTAGACGAAAAACATAAACATATGCTATTTACTTTTATATTTAAACACTGATAATAAATACAAACGCTACACTGCGTAAAATTATAGACAGTTAAAAGGTAGATTTTATTAAAGAAGACAGCCACGTAAGGTATACATATATAGTGAATTTTAAAGCCGTAATGTATGTACATAAATCAGCTTAAAACAATCCATCTTTAAACCTATTTAAAATGTATTTAAATTTTGTGCATATATAATGCACATTTTATATACTTTAAGTTACAGTTCCACTGTTGCTGGTAGTTTAAACTGTAGTTAAATTATAAGTGTATTACTAGAACATTGCTATCCAATTCGAATAATAAATAAATACATTAAAATCTCTAATGTATATTTGCGTACAAAATTTCATTGCGGAATGGAAAAATACTGTGGAATCATTTAAATTCATTACACATCTCGACAAGATGCTACAGTGTTTACATGTTAGCGATCGGTGGGATCATCTCCGTTACATAACGAATTATTTTCTTACACAATAATCTTTAACTTAACCCCAGATACAGTAATCTTATTACTATGACGTTACATACATATTAGTGCTTAATGTTTATTAAAATACATAAATACTTTGGTAAATAGAACTTATTAAGTCTGCAGTTGTAAACTATGGTCAACATTTAATGCAGTTTTATTTTATCATCCAGATGTCATATACCATATTATATAATTGTTTTGTTGCTTTTAATCTGTACTATTATAATAAAGCGTAAACACGCATTTCTTTGTTGCCTTAGATCTCAGCAATTACAGCATATTTTTGAATAATTCTTTTTTTATAATAATTAAAAGCGCTACACTTGCGTCACGCTTTAAGCTATTAAACTTAGGGGGTAAATATTTTGGATAAAAACCCTAATGTGGGAAAGAGACCAAAAGTTGCTGCCAACATCAAGGAAGCAAGATTGTCATAGTAAGGTAATTAGTATTTTGACATTTGCAATTGAGAATTTGGGAAATGCTAACAATAAATTTATAGTTTCTTGCGGATGAAGCCGCACGCGAACAGCTAGTTAGTACTAAAAATTAAGGCGCTAATAATCTAATGGTCGAAGGAAGGCATTGCGGAAGTGTCGTGTTTTTGAATCCGCCATAAAGTTCATTGACAAAAATTTGGCACAAGGCTAAGTTAAAAACATAAGCAAGTACTTTAATTAATTAAATTACGAATTAAAAAATACTTGAATATAAGCAGGTAAAAGCTGTCGTCAGTAACGGACTTTAAAAACTATATTTGGGCCGCAAATTGTTTAGTCTAATGTTGCTATCGACTTTATGTAACATTGATATGTGACTCATCCTCATTAGCGCCAAAGGTGTTCGTCTTCTGAATAAATTCTGAAAAAAGGAATATACCATTAGTAGAAATAAAAAAAAAAAACAATTGCATGGTTAATAAAGAAGTTTAAATAAGAATTGGCTGAGATACAACCTCGTTACAATATTCTCAGACACTTACAGTAATTAATATAAAACAATAAATGACTACCTCAAAGCAACTATTATTCTCACCTTAAAGGCCTGTCGAAATCTCCGAGACATGAGACTGTAAAGAATAGGGTTGACGGCGGTTGACAAATAGCTGTTGACTAAGCTCAAATATCCAAACACTTGCCACACCTGAAAAAGGAGGAAAAAGGTTTTTCTTATTACATAGAAAAATAGAGGAATACCTTTGTCAACAGATTACATATGGAGTGCCTTTTCGTCGTCTGTAATTTATATCGTGTGACAGCAAGACAAACAGATCAGGTCAGTTAAGCTTATTTATGACATGCTTATGTTGAGACGGAAGGGGAAACTTATTTATGTTATTACACTGTCATCAATTTTGTTTTTATGTCATAAGTATGAGATTTTGCATACTTGTAAGAAAATAGGAAAGAAAATAAATTGGAATGGAAGGCTAAAGCTATATGTTTATGTATGGAGTATATTTTAGACCCTAACATCTGCAGATATCAGGGGCTTTTGCTAAAGTAAGCACAAATAAAGCGGGCGCACACCTTTGACTAAACTATCGCACACCTTTGACTAAACTATCGCACAACTGTTGTACGATTGTCGATTTTGCAGCTAATTCAACTGTTTAGTTGCATAACTAAAAATCGAATAGTGTGCGCACCTCCATATAAGGTCATAGGAATCTAAGCTTCAGGAGTTCACTCGCTCTTAAATAATATTGCTCTATAATAAGATATGAGAATACAACAGGCCAAGCTTCTGTGTTCTTGCATATTGACGTAATCATAGACGCCTCCCACTTGCTATCGCCTTTAACTAGTTACCATGTTTGTGAAATGGTTTTTCGAAATATTTGCCACTGAAACGTTGAAATGTCCCCATTTGTATCCAAGTCGATACTCACTTTGTAATAGTCATCTTGTCTCAGTCGTGGTATGATCATCATTAGTCGTAAGACGGAGTACGGGAACCAGCAGAAAAAGAAAGAAGCGGCGACTGCAGCTGAGGAAACAATAGATTTTTAATTAAACAACGAAATCTGAAAGTTTAGATGGAAGGATGTGTGTCACTACATATTTCCAGAACGACTTAACGGATCTTTCTGTTTGGGATAGATGTAGAACATAGTCTAGAAGAAAATATATTTTCAAATATGTTTTTTTAACCTGTATGTTAGTAATTTATTTATTACGTGAGAAGGAACCTCGCATGACAGATAGTTATGAATGTATTTGTGCAGATATTGTTGATGACTCACACCAGAAATTTATTGGTGCAACTCTGAATAACATCATCGGTTATATAAAAACTGATAAAGTACTTACCTAACATAGTGACTGCTTTGTCTCTGTTTCTTTTACCATTAGCGGGACTGTTTTTCAAATTCTCATTGGTGTGTTTCAATTTCAAAGCAATCAAAACGTAAATAACGAATATAACAGTCATTGGAAAAACGAAAAATATAAAAAGATCGATGCTCATAACGATTAAAACTTTCTCGGTGAGTTGAAATAGACAGTAAATGCCTTTGTCACGTTCATACAAGAACACGTTGAAGACTTGCAGAACACAGAACAGGCAGGACAACAACCAATTAAAAACAACAACTTTTATAACACGTGACGTCATCACGAGAGATTGCCGAAGAAAAGGCTTTACGATGACAATATACCGTTCAACGGTGAAAGCAAAAATGGTAAGGACACTGCAATTACTGAGACAATCCCAAATAACATAATGTATTCGGCAGCCGATTTCCCCGATCGGAAAATAATCAGGCGTCCAGATTATGTAGATTTCAACAGGAATACATAAAGCCGTCAACAGATCTGTGACAGCTAAATTGAATAAATAACAGTTAGTAGGGGTCCTCATAGAACGGTTTCTGATTATAACCGCACACGTACTGATATTTCCCACTAAACTTAATATCAGGACGATCGTTAGGAAACCACTCAGAAGTATCTTGTATTTAAGGTCATCGGTAACACATATGTCGTCAATTTGCTTCATGTTCGGATACAAAAAGAAAGTATCATTATTATTTGAACTGTTTAAGAACACCATTCTCACTGGCTCAGAGTGATTTGCAAACTGAAGTAAATTTACTGAAGGGCGTATCACACTTTACACCCGGTGTCGATCGGGGAACACTAACGATGTAGTTGTTTTTCTCTACTACGAAGCTACAGGATGTTGAAAATCATATGACATTTGTCGATATGTTAGTAAATAGATAGCTAATAGACAATAATGTCTATTAATAGATTTGTGGTAATTTAGTTATATTTTATTGTAACTATACCACGTTAAGTTAACTTGAATCCTGTACTAGAATATGGTTCACGACATTAACCGTATGATGAGATTTAATCCCACGAACATGAGCTTGATAATTGGAGTATACCTATGCATTGGAAAACATGTTAAATGAATTGTTACTATGTCGGGCTGTGGTAACATGCCGTCGGAAAGAAGCTTTAAAACATTGAATAAACAAATTGCATAATGATAGGAGTGAACATTTAACATGAAATTTAACTTGTTACATTGTAAATATTACCTTGACTTTCCGTGAATAAAAAATATTATTGAAATTAAGAACACCATGAATATAAAAGTAATCAAGTGTGTAGCCAAAGAAGCGCTCAAATTGATGGCATTCAGAGGGCGGCTTGACAGCTAGCCTAATTGAAATTACGTTACGTACTACCGGCTACTTAAGGGTTTGGTACAATTTTTATAATTTTTATTGCGTCCTACAGCAAACTGTAGAAAGTATTGAGATAAAAGTTTGTGACTCTCTTAGTATTGACTACATTTTTCAGCTTTATCTCTGACGTTTCAATTTAAATGTCATCGCCTTGTTAGAAATTTTTAAAAGTCCGTGTATTATGATAAATGTAAAGAATAGTACTTTATTATTATTTCCATGTTTTGTTTACTCTGTGCCATTAATTGTAAACTCTATCGTCAAACTAATTAAACCTTTAAATTATTCATTTATTTTACAAAATTCGTACACGATTTCAGTACAAAACATCCAGCCAAATGATAATGTAACAGTTCCCCACTCAAGTCATAAGATACGAGCGAAAGGACTACTCATATACTATTTGTTTTCCTCCAAAATTTCACAATTTGAAAAAAATATACGGTACTCCATAAGTATTCTCTTTTGAAAGTTAAAAAATGGATTCCATGATAAAAACAATTTTGCTTTAGAGATTTAACAGTGAAGCATGCTATTGGGCTAATATTAACAAAAATGAAATATGAGTTAAAATAAATTGAATGTAATCATTGAATATCATAAAAAAAAAACATAAAAAGTAATGTTCCCGCCCGGGGTCGAACCGGGGACCTTGTGCGTGTGAAGCACACGTGATAACCGCTACACTACGGGAACTTATCTTACGGCGGGGAATTTTCGCTATTTATAATTGAGACAAAAGTATTATTTTTCCGCCTTTTCTTTTAAAATGTAGACTAAAAATTCACGGCAGTATTATCTGCTGCACAAATATCTCGACATCACAGAAAACAAGCATAAAGTGAATATTAATGTTTTGTTTTCCATCCTACTTTTTTTAGTTACATAAAGATGATAAGTACACATTTGGTATTAGATAGGAATGAGTACTTTTCAGTTAAACCGCATCTTCCAGCAACATTCTTATCTAGTGATATTTTGCTCCAATTTGGATACAAGATTTCGATACTAGATGAAAATGGGATTTGACAGGATTTGTGTAAATGAAAATTCCCTTATCATTTTAGTACGATATATTCGAATTAATGTTTGATCTAATTTGAACCTCGAACATCAAGCGGAACACGATAGCATATTCTTGATCTTTAATGACGCAAAGAATCAGACAACATTATAACTTGGGTTGTGCTATGGAATAACACAGTGTTGTATCATTTTATAAAAGTCCCACGCTGATTACTAACTCGTGCGTAATAAATTAATCAATTATCAACTACATTAATACGTCAAGACACTACATAGATAATTTTATTCTAAGTAATTTCCTTACATTATAACCAATAATTTAGTACTAACTGGTTATTAGTAAGTTAACGGTTTTAACATATAACTAACCAATTATATATTTAATTAAGAAGTAAAGGTGACTTGGAGACAATATCGTATTTCCGTTTACAATGTAATGTTGGTATTACTGAAACGACGTTGAATCTATAACATCCGCAACCAAAGTATCTTAAAGTTTCTCTAATAAACTACAATTAATAATAAAACAAAGTAAAACGTATCTCTTAAGTTTAAAGAACATTTTTGTACAAAAATAAAAGTAGAAAAATAATAAAAAACCATTACATTTGGGAAAAACTAATAGTAAAGATATAAAACATAATGGAGATTCAAAAGATTCTTGAACGTTTTATAGCCATTAAACGTAGTGTTTTTTAGATTTTGTTATACAAAATTAGACTAAAAGAAGTTACACCTTAAAAGTTAATAACACAGTAATTAGACTAGAATCATATCCACATGAAGATTTGGAAAGATTTTAAAATACAATTTTTAATTTGATCTTCTTAAAAAGTGTTTAGTTGATGTTTTTTATAGTTCTCTTGTTTTGCCGGTCGTCCGTAACGCTGGTACATGATTGGCGTCCTCTATCGCCATAGATTTCCGCCCAACAAATAAATTCTGAAAATAAGAAGTAAAGTTTAATTACAAAACTCCGAAAAAGGCATGCTAAATTAAAAAAAAATAACTTGGACATCATCTTACTATCCTATCCTTAAATAGGATACTTCCCATTTCTATGGGTCCCCACCTCTACCAAATTCTCCTCATTTTCTTCAAGCGAAATTGCGTCCACTTGCCGCCTGTCTTCTGTGTGGTCGTGTTCGATGGGGTTAGCTGGCCCATTCATGTAAAATATTTTGCATTATAAAATGTTTAACTAAGTTACTATTTTAAAGGTTCTTACTTTGAACGCCTGCCGAAATTTGCGAGACATAAGCCCGTAAAGAATTGGATTGACCGCAGTTGACATATAGCTGTTAACTAAACTCAAATATCCAAAAACCTGCCACAACTGAAACAGAAAATAATAGTAACTACTGTAAAATTTAAAACATAATTCTATTAAATTAGTGTATTTACTGTGACCATATTTTTTTGGGAATTCACTTTTAAAAACCTGTAAACAAAAGCGGAGTGGTGCGCAACAACTTGATGTCAGGTTTACCTGCTACTTGTTTTACACTTTTGCTAATAGATGGCGTACTTTTAAAAGTTTACTTACATTAAAATATTCATCTGATCTAAATCGTGGTATGATCATCATCATTTGGAGAACGAAGTACGGAAACCAACAGATAAAGAAGAAAGCGGCTACAGCTGCTGTAAATACCAGGTTTTTTTGATTAATATTACAATAAAAGACGTTTAATTAAAAATTGTTATTACAGTTACGTCACAGAATCTCGTGTTTGTATTATAAAGCAAAGTATGTACTTTATTTCATGTTAAAATTCTATCTTTAAATTCTAGACAGATAATTAACCGACTAGATTTTAATATAAACCGTAATTTAAAAACTTTCGCGAAAAAAATAAATGCCAATTTAACTAACCCAGCATTGCGACAGCTTTGTTCTTGTTCCTTTGTATATTGCCAGGACTGGTAATTAGTTTTCCGTTCGTTTCCCTCAACTTTATTGCAATCAAAATATAAATAACTAATATAACAGTCATCGGGAGAGCAAAAAATATAAAAAGATCAATACTCATAATAATCAACGTTTTATCAGTTACTTGAAACAGACAATATATACCTTTGTCACGTTTGTACAAAAACACATTGAAAACTTGCAGCAAACAGAATAAACAAGATAACAACCAATTGAAGGTTACAATTTTTTTCACTCGCGACGTTAAAACAAGGCTTTGTCTGAGAAAGGGTTTTGTTATAACAATATATCTTTCAATAGTAAAAGCAAATATTGTTAACACACTACAATTACTTAGACAATCCCAAACAATGAAATGAATTCGACAACCAATTTCGCCGATCGGAAAATATTGAGGCTTCCACAGGATATAAATCTCAAAGGGAATACATAAAGCAGTCACTAGGTCCACTACAGCTAGATTGAACAAGTAATAATTGGTAGGGGTTCTCATGGAGCGATTGCGGACGATAACCGCACACGTGCTTATATTTCCCGCCAAACTGACAAACAGTAACACTATTAACAACCCACTCAATATAATATTTAAGTTAAGATCTACCGTAATATCTGAATTGCCGATAGTTTTGGTATTTGGATAAAAGAAAAACTTATCATTATTGTTTGTATTATTTAGAATCACCATTTCGAAAGATATTCAAACGCAGTAAATATACTTGATCCAAATGACGTGTCACTTGTTACACTGTGTCGCGTTGGGGGAAGACTAACGACGCACGGATGTTACTCCTACGACCAAAAATACAGGACGTTCCAAAAAGTTTCATACTAAGCGGTATATTTCGTAGTCCTTTTTACATAAGGCTGTATGAGTGATTATTAACCATAAACTGACGTAATTGTCTACCAAATAATTCAAGCTACTTTATTAATATTATAACAGTGTTAATTAGAATAATTTGCAAATTCCTTTTCTTGCTTCGATGTTTATTTTGTGAGAAAAAAACAAAATAACTACTTTCATCTAAATGTTTGATCATTAAAGATTTTATAAGAAAACTCCGTCCGCGCGGAATAAAAAAAAAACAAAAATATGTAGCCTATGTATTCCAGACTATCATCTACATAAATGCCAAATTTCATCGAGATCCGTTCAGCGGTTTAGGCTACAAACTGTAACAAACATCCATCCATCTAAACTTTCGCATTTATAATATAAGTAAGATATAAGTGTTCAAATGAATTATTACTTCAAGATTGTATGGAAAGTGGAGGATAATTGATTATGTCATTAAATGTGACTTTTGATACAATAAAGAAACGACTTTTAATAGCAACGGACGAACACCCCTGACGTCCATTTGATTAATGACGTTTATTTCATGAATGAACTGAGTAGGGGAAATATGTTGATACAGAGTATCTAAAAAACCCACGACGGTGTACGGTCATCAGAATTGAGTTAGTAGCGTAAACCAAAATTAAAAATCTGCACTAATCTCTCACGTCCATTCTTCACGTTTGTATCTTTGAGAGAAAAAGAAATAAGCTCTTAGGAACACCATAAATATTTTGAAGGGTGAAGCAAAACAAACACTTAAATTGATGGCGCATTTCTGTCTGCTCTTCACAATTGTACTCTAATTGAAATTATACGATACAGAGATGTAACATGATGTTTACACTCTAGAGGAGAAAAAAAAACAATGGTAAGGTTTAGATGAGAAATAGCAGGTCAAATAGATACTTAAATCTGATAACAGATTGATAGTACTTCATACTTAATCCCTTAATGCAGTCACATTTTTGATATAACTAATTTTATCAGTGTACTCAACATTGTTCTAAATATGATATCCCGTAGCTTCAAAATACAAGGTAAGTGTATTTTTTGTAAAACGTATGGTTAATAACAACCTGTGTAAATAAGTTTTTTATAAGTATCTTAAACATTTTTAACTACAAGTATATTTTTTTATATCATATGGTATGAAACGAGTTAGCGGTCGAATTCACCGACAAAGATGCTTTGGAGGAGGAATCGATGGAGGAAGGGACGCAATGAACGAGAATTTCTCCTTCATAGACCCTCTTCCTCCGTTAAATCCACTTCCCATCATTACCTTATAAAACAGCGTAAGAAGTAGATAGATTATAATTAAGGGTAAGAAAAAGAAAAGGGATTAAAGTAGATCTTCTGACACACTCAACAGGTAAAACCGAATTGCTTCAACTTCACGGCTGTCTACAGCGTGGTCGTGGGATTTCACCGGCAATTTTGTCCAACAGATGTTACAGGCGTCTGCTATTGTTAATTTAAGAGATAAAAAGACCAAAATAAAAAAAACACCATTTATTTGACTACATTTATATGTAAACAATAAATATTACAAAAATTACTATTACGACACATAACCATCAATCTTAATTTTAATTTGATACAATAGTTCATTTAATATTTGGTTATCCAGGATAATAAATAATAATCTACCTAATACCTACTCAACTTCGTTATTCACACATTTGTATTGAGCAATGTGATTACAGTCACTGCAACCTTAGAAACTAATATCAAATAATGTCACTATTATTAGCACTGCATCCCAACTTAATAAATACAATACAATATTGTTTTTCGTTTCATATATGACACAGAAATAAAATTATGTAAGCTACATTTATGATTGTGATATCTGGTGCATCGGAAAGATGTAATTATACATGCATTTATTCTAATAGGACTAAAAAAACAAACATGATACAGCAGACTTATTAAAATTATCACAAATCCGTCACAGTCGATTCAGTTAATCTAATTCTATAGTGACATACAGCTTAGCATCACCCTCAATTTGGTACGTTTTATTTTTATTCTTCTTTTGGATTTATAATTTGGGCAACTTTCTTCTCTTCTGCGTTAACATCTTTGTCATCCCAACCCCATACGTTGTGACTTCCATCGCCTGTTCGCTTTACTCTCTTCTCTATAACGTCAGTCGATACAGTTTTCAAATCATAGGCCCAACCGATCTTAGCCATACCGTCTATGAACATTTTGGTGAAATTAAGAGAGTAGTCTCCAAGCTCTGCAGTTTTGTAGTCCCAGGGGAAAGTGTGATGGTAGTTATGGAAGCCCTCGCCGAGCACGACTAACGAGACGGGTTTAGTTTCGACAGGATTGATGTGTTTATCGTAAGGCTTGGAGCCCCACAAATGGGCTACAGAGTTGACGAACCAAGTGACGTTGAGGACGTAGACGTATCTGAATATGGCACAGACGTAAAACGCGTTCCACAAGGATTCACCCCACAGTGTAGGGATATAGGTCGGCAGAACAAAGCAGCACAAAGGCATTATCAGCAAGTAGTACCTGTTAAAGAAAATATTGTTTTATTTTGTAGCTATATAAAAAAAACATTAAAAACCAAATGGTGCTGAACACTGTAGTACCGCAGAGTTTAAAATATGAACTGTCTATACGAAATCATTAATTAGTGTTTCTCTCAATAATGTGTAAAAATAATAGTCCTTTTACAAGAATAGTTGGTATCAAACCTATTTTGAGAGTTAACATTAGTATTAAATATGTTGAAATAATTAAGTATATTTTCAATTAGGCCATCCTCAATGTTTTATTTCCATGTTCACAAATTACGGTAAAAATGTATGCAATTGTTTGCTCAATAAATTGTACAACAAACTCTGTAACAAGATAGATTTGTTGCAAACAATAATTACTGATGCAAATAACACAGTTGAGTACTTAATTACCTAACAAGTATTTATCAAATATCTAAGTTTAGTTGTTTTATATTTATAAAATAAAAAAAAACCAATGCGAACTAAAATTTAATTGAATGAGTATGGTTATTAATAACTTAGTTTTAAGTGTATAATATAATAGGTGTAGTGCAGATTATATTTTTTACCATTGAAATAATAAATTAAAAAGATTTAGTACCGCCAATACTTTACGATTTCAAAGACTAAACGGTCATCGGGGGTCATTAGAATTAAAGGTATAGTTAAATTACAATTATAATTAAAAAATTATGTGCTCACTTCTTCTGGAAACGTAGCACAGGATCAGCCCAGAGATCATTCATGTCCAGTGATTTGCCTTTTTCTTTGATCTGAGGATGTTTCTTCACAAGCAGCCAGCCAACGTGGGAGAAAAAGAACCCGCGAGTCGCGTTGTGAGGGTCTGCGTCGGTCTCCGAGTACTTGTGATGCATTCTATGGTCACGAGCCCAGTCCAACACAGCATCCTTTAACAAATTAATACATTTAGTGTGTACTTTATTAGAAGGTATCGAGGCGTTTAGGATAACAAGTCAGCCGTAATGAAAATGAACCAAAATTCGATGTTCGAATTTCAATAAAATATTAATAATATCCAATAAGTAGTATAAAAACTGAAGAGTATCAAGATTTATGAAAGTGTAGTCAATGTTAACAGAAGATACGAAGAAGTGACATGACCTAACATTATGACATCATATAAGTACTAAACATTGAAAGGTTAAGATGGTTCAAGTCATAAACCATTCCAGATCGTGCTAGAAGTCATACAAAGATAATCTGACCTTAATGTCATTTGAAGGACGCGGAAAGTTTCCGATACAAGATAATACACATTATGATAAACTGTCACAACTATTAATCTTAGTAATATTATAAATGCGACAGTTTATAATTAAAGTTTATAAATAATTTAAGCGACAGTTTAGATGGATGGATGGATGTTTGTTTGAGTTTGTAGCCTAAACGACTCAACGGTTCTCGATGAAATTTGGCATAGATGTAGGGAATGGTCTGGAAGAACACAGTGTCTACTTACTTCTTTTATTCAGACGTTGTCGAATGCAAAAGCTAGTGTAGTTATAATTGTTATGCGGAATTTTACGATGTTAAAGATGAAAGTAAAATAATTACAATGACTGATGTTATCCAGAGGGCAGGGTTAAGTATAGTGATAATTGTGTGTCAAAGGTGGGGTGGATAGCGCATGTTTACCACGTGTTCGTAGACAGACAGACGATCATGTTCTCACGCAATCAGTCACGCTGCACTAATGTGATAAAAATTAACAAAATATATGACAAATTGTGATGTTATTTATGTTGATTGTTACTTGTTATTCCTAAAATGGGCAAATATTTTACAAATTAAGCTATTAATTATATCTGATTTTTTTTGAATACATCTTTTTAATACGATTAATCTAAACCTAATCATCTAAAATTCTTAAAGATTCTACAAAGAGTTAACTTAACTACTCATCTCCCCTCGTCATCATCATCACCAGCTCACTATATGTCCCCACCGAGGGGCTCGGAGCCTACCCTAAATTAGGGTGATTAGGCCATAGTCAACCACGCT